CCGGTATCTCATTACCCTATTTATATAGAGAGGCTGTTTTTATTTATATAGAGAGGCTGGTTTTAAGTGGTTTATCAATAGAGATTAAATAGTGATGTGTGAAAATGAATCATAATTTGAAATGCTGCATGCAACAAATGAGGCTGGCAGGGAATTTCTTGGCCTAAAAGAAATGTTCTATAAGTATATTCTGTTGTACAAATAACTTAATAATTATGGTACTTGGAACAAACACAGCTTAGGGCCAGCATTCTGCTTGATCTGAGCTGCTCTAGTATCAGAAAACCTTGAAAAATAGTCTATATTTCTTCCAGCTTGCTTGTTTTGAAGCACAAGTGAGCTATTTGTAAAATATCTTGTATTCCTCATTATTGCTGTCTGTTAATTGTGATGTTACTGTGGGGTTTGAGATGCATTGCTTTGCTGCAGTTCAGGTATAGCCCAAGTCCTTAACTTTCCACCTACTCTTCAGGAAACTTCCTGCCTTCCAGGTTGATTTCTCTTGATTAATACTGAGTGGCCATGGGGAAAGAAAAAGAAATGATAATCCCTTTACACAAGGCAATGACACGTTAGATGGTCGAGACTGTAGCAGGAAATGATCATCAGAAGTCTGAGTAATTTGATATTATTTTCTCTTTTTGACATAGCCATCAAGTGCATCAAGATCTTAAAATACCAAGGTGGACATAACTATATGAAATACTGCTTTTCAACAAAGAAAAACAGTGTTCAGTTGCTGGAATTGTTGGTGCTGTAGTTTCTCATTCTTTTCCTATCGTAGTTTTTAGTTTTAGTGATTTTTTTCCCCTTCCAAGGCATCCCTATGCCTGCCATGATCACTTAGCTAACCAGTTTGCTGTACGCTCTCTCCATCTCAAAGTGTGTCCACTAGGTTTCCTGCACAATTGGTTAGTGTTGGTGTATGTCTGAAATACCTGAATACACTGTGCTCAGAAGAGCTGTACAGAAAATTATTCAGATGCTTGTTCAGATAATTAAAATCTTTGTTTCTGTTTCTATCCATTTTCGCTTTTGCTTTCAATAAATGTTCTAGCAAACAACTGGTAGGAGTGTTTGCTGGGAGAGTGAATACTTGAAGTTCATTGGTAGGGGTATGCACTAGGGCTGTGCGAAGCTTTGGTGGCTGATTCGATTCAACGGAGATTCGGCCCAAAGTCTGAATCAAATCTGGAGACCCTCCAATCTCTCTGAATCGAACTGGAACCCTCCGAATCAATTCAGAGAGATTCGGAAAGATTCAATGATTCGGACATAGGCACAGCTTTAAATGTCTGCTGCCGAGCGTGGCAGGGGTGGTCCCCAGTGCGCTTGGCAGCAGACCCGGAAGTGGACCAGAAGTACTTCCAGTCCACTTCCAGGTTGGCTGCTGAGCATGCGGGGGGCTCCCCCCATGCTCGTGTGGGTCGCTCCAACCGCCCCAGCATTGCAGCATTCACGAGCCGTGGCTGGTACCTTGAGGTATGTAGAAAAAACATTTAAAGCTGTGCCTGTGTCCGAATCGTTGATTCTCCAAATCAGCATCAAATCTTCAGATTTGGATTAGGCCGAATCAAGTCACAGACAGTGATCCGAATCAACAAATCAAATCACTGTCCCTGATTTGGGCTGAATCCAAATTGAATTCAGCCCGTTTTGCACCCCCCTAGTATGCACAACAAAAACGTGAAACTAAAGAGTTACATTCATCCAACCAGAACAAGAAACAGAAATGTGTGACTTGTATGCAAACAAAACTTGCTTCACAGTTTACATTTTAACTACTGGCATCCGATGAGGTACCACACAAGAACCGCTGGTTGGCACAGTAAATATTTAGAATAATGACTACAAGAAAATTGTGTTCTGCTTCAGGATAATTTGTGAACAAGAAGGTAGGGAAAAATGGAGCTCATTGTTAGCTATGAACTATTCCCTTGGGTGTACTAAACAGAAAACAACCAATAAATGCCACAGATGTGTCTAAATTTATATAAAGGAAAATAAGTGGCATGTCACAATATTAAAAATACGTCAAAAATGTTTCAAAGTTTTTAGTATAGGAACAAATTTTGCTTTTATTTTTTCAATATAAATATATACGGAGACGGTTCTATAAGTTTCTAAGCTAATTAAGGTGCACTGCCAGGTCAGCAAATTAGAGGGCATGAGAGCAGGGCAGTGAGTCAGAAGGTCATGATTTCTACCCTTATCTTTGCTTTGGAGTCACTGTTTTTCATTTTTGGGCAAGTCATTTCACTGCTCTGATTCCCTGTTGGTTAAAATGAGGATAATACTTAGATACTTCAAATGGCTGTTTTTGAGGGATTAGTCAATAGGCCAACACCTACTTATTTTATTTCAGTAAGCCATTTAATTGGGACAACTCACCTCAGTAGAATGACCGTTTATTGCTTTGTAAATTGCTTTGAACACAGCGAACTACACTCATTCTTGATGTAAAAGTGATGCTAGTAAACCAAAGAGCATGAGGAATGCTGCTTTTTTGGAGTGAATTAACAAGACACTCACTTCTGAATATGGACTGATGACACGAAAAGCAGATCAAATTCAAGTAAAAAAATCCAAAGGCTGGTTAGTTACTTCTGTATGTACTACTAATTGGCAATCACAAATTACATCACAATCATCCTAAACTCGGTTAGGGCAATCTAAATATAATACTTGAATGCACCCTTTAACACTTGCTCCCTTCCCACCCCACCCAGCCTTTTCTCTCCCCT